ACCGAGGCGGTACGGACAGCACCGAGCCGGTACGGACAGCACCGAGCCGGACCGAGCCGGTACGGACAGCACTGAGCCGGTACGGACAGCACCGAGCCGGTACGGACAGCACCGAGCCGGACCGAGCCGGTACGGACAGCACCGAGCCGGACCGAGCCAGAAAGGGCAGCACTCAGCAGAGTACATCGAAGTCCTCGCACAGACATGTGGTTTGAGTGGCAGTAAACACCACTGCCTAGCAGGATATTTTACTAGTTAAAGGTTTTGGAAGAGACAGAGCCGCACCTTGATGCTGTCGGCGAACTCCTCCAGAGCCTTCGCACCAACTGTCTCCATGGAGGTTATGAGGGTGGGGAGCTTGTTCTTGGTGCTGGCTGCAGTTCCCTGGGGGACAATGTGGCGTCACGGTGTCATGTGACGGAAAGCCTCCTCCGTCTCACGACACAGGAACGACCATCCCGGTTCCCCACCTGCAGCGTGGTGTCAAACTCCGGCTTGGTCTGCTTCAGGTGCCGCAGGATGGGGAAGATGGTCAGCACAGCCGAGTAGTCGTGCCGCAGGGTGGCTCGGCGCGCCGCGGACACGATGCCTTCACCCTCCAGCATCAGGCTGTCCAGGGCCTCCTGAAGACGAGAGGTGGCTCATCCAACACCAGGGGGCGCTAGAGAGGAAAACCCTAACACCTAACCCTACCCATAACACCTAACCCTAAGGCTGTTCAGGGGCAGGAGGCGCGGTGGTTACAAGGAAACAGCCTGATATGGCCACTCACTCCCATGTTTAATCAGGAAATGAGGTCAACAGCGTCCGCAGCCACCTGCATATCATTTCTGAATTCCCTCAGATATCCTGAAGCTTTAAGGTTCGGCCGTGAAAGACCTCAGAGGTCACCACGATGCAGCAGGCAAAGCCGGCGCCCCCGGACCTGGATGAGCGAGTCGAAGGTCTTCTTTTGGTGGTGCTCGGGGATGATCTCCGTGAGCAGGGCGTACTCGCTCTGCGCCAGCTTCACGAACGCGCTGATGCAGTGGATGTAGGAGTCGATCTCCACGTCCAGCATGTCGTCCTTGCCTGAGGAGGGTGCGGCAGGGAGCCGGTAAACGAGGGGGCTTTCAGCCTGGCCATCAGATTTCACACTCCTAAACATATTAACTGTTTTCCTGTCATATCTGATGGGGCTGCCTTTTCGGAGGGGCCGCATATGAAAATGAGGGGGGCTCTACGGTTTAGTCTTACATGATAACTTCTAAACTTCATAATGCCTGCAGACCTGATGGCTATTATTATACTGAACAGGTGCTAGTTCACCCAAAGCGACAAGGCAGCCAATAGCACATAATAGCACATAATCACACGATAGGGATGAGAGTGACCTGAAGGTCACCTGCCACGCTCTGCTCTCTCCTGCTCCATCCAATGCTTATTACAATACATTATGCAGATAAATAGGATTAAAATGAAAAATCTGGTAGGAGGGCATAGCAATACAGGCAGCGGGAAATCTCAACCCAGCGTGAGAAATGCTCAGGCGACATCATAACGCTGCACGTCCGTCCCGAATATAGGTGGCGTTTCATAAATGGTCAAAGAAAACCTCCAGGAACAGAAATTTCAGCTGGAAACCTTCATAAAATGTATGTAAAAAAAGGTATTTGTCCATAAGGTAATGACTGGACTCATTTCTCCCCTGAATGATAGGGGAGATTCCCACTCTACCCAGAATCCTGTGGGTGATGTAGACACGCCCACCCCGTGTCCGCCTCGGGCGTACTCACCTGCGGCTGCCCCGTGCTTCTCGTTCAGGGCGTCAGAGACGTGTCTGACCCGCAGGTCAAGATCGTGACCTAATGGAGTATTGGGGGGGGGGGGGGATGCGTCACGCAACTGGCTGTTAATCCAGTTGTGCGTGCGGCTGGGCCAAAGGGTCGACTTGGGACTCCCCTAGAGAAATTCCCCGACCACCAGACACCCAGAAGCAAAAGCAGAGGGTGGGGGGCTTGGCACAAGACCCTGTGTGTGTGCGTGTGTTTTACCCGTGTTGTTATACGCTACAGGGGAAGCCGGACGTCAACGGAGCTCTGTGTCATTTTACACGTGTGATTTACAGGACTTGCCCAACCAATTAAAAAATAAAATCTTTAAATAAAAGCATCAGCAGAGCTGCTGCGGTCCGGCTGGCTCCTGTCCGCTGGCTTTGGGTCAAAAACAACGGAACGCGTTAAAAAAACAAAAGAGCAAAAGAAAATCCCAGGATGGGAGGGGGGGGGGGACAGCAACTCGGCACCGGGAAAGAGGCGAGGATGGATTACCTTCCAGAGGAGTGAAGTTACAGCCCCCCCTTTTCCCTTCGAGCGCGTGCTGAGAGTACTGTTTCAGAAGGTTCTGAGCCTTACGGATCGTCCCTGTTCCCACGGAGACAGAGAGAGAGAAAGAGAGACGGGGTGGGGGAGGGGGGCAGCCCAGGAAGTGAAAGGATCGGTCAGAAAACAGGGAGGAAAGCTAGGAAGTGAGAACTGGACCAGCAGCCCCAAAGTCCCTCCACCAAACACCACAGAACCGAGGTGGGGGGAGTCCTTGGAGACCACGGGCTAGCTACACGACACAGCAGGACACAGCAGAACACAGCAGAACACAGCAGAACAACACACACCCCAACCTCAGGGTGGAGGAACACACAACAGCAGCTAAAGCAAACACATACAGTGGAGGTTATTCGTCATTATTCACATGAAAATACACACAGACCAATGCATTTCATCAATAACAGTGTTAATACTGTCATTCAGTTACAGATGCATCATCACTATCATCATCATCTTCTCATAGCATGTTTTAATCGTGTTCCTCAGTTTCACTGTGAGCTGAGCATGCCTACACTTCACGGGCACATGGCAAAGCTGGCGCAGTCAGCGATGGCCTGATCGGCGTGCTGTGTTAGTAAGTGCACATCACAGAGAGACCATGAGCCGATGAGTTTAAACAGATGGATTATGGGTATTCATGCGATGCCGTGGTAATTACCAAGGGGGGTAAGATGATCAGCCTATCACTATCACTGACCTCCTGATGTCAAGCCGGATCCTCCGCGGCAGCGCCGTACAACCGGCTAACTGCTGCCCCAAAGCATTATGGGAAATGCAGGAGCATGACACGCTCCGATAAAAACAGATGCTGAGCTAACAGATGTGTCAAGGATTCAGCTATATCGCTAACGCTTCCTGAAACACCTCGATCTTAATTCTGCAGATTCTGACTATGCTTCTCTTGTGCTGGGAACAGGGAACAAAATTAAGAAAATGAAAGCCTGGTGACGCGTGGAAATCAGAGATGAGACACGGGTGTGGGACTAGGAGCGCGAAGAGACGACTCTTGCTAGAGGTTAGCATGACGTTGGCGGAATCATCCGGGCCAGTGGCGGGAGGCAACCTGAGTACCGATTCCGTGAATATTAAGCTTCTCTGGCTTGTTTTTATTGGTCGGCCAATGCAGTGGGACCTCTCCCATTGGCCCACCCTCTTTGTATTAGTCACTCCGCCTCTGTGTTGCCCGCCACATTAGCAGTGAGTACAGCTTCCTGGCTTGGGGGGGGGTCCTGCATTCTGGGTCTCTGCAAACTGTTGGAGGTTTAACATCCCCTCTGGCTGACGCTTCACCCAATCACGACGAGCCCTGAAGGCCCAGACAACTTAAAACTGTCTACGTGAATGCTCGGGCCCTCTTGAGCGGCGTCAGAGTGCACGCCGCCTCACGATTATGCCTCCGGGGGGGCTGTGGCGCCGCCCTGGTGGCCAAGGCACTCTTGCAGTGCAGTGAAACACGAGTTTCAGTCGGACACAAGCAAGCGATGGCAGAGGGTGCATGACAAACTGAGGGAGGATTTTTACCTGGGATGTACACTGCCATTGACATCAACAAACAAACAAAAGAGAAGAGAGAGCCTGTTAATTAGAGTATATTCAAGTGGGGGGGGGCAAATGTACAGGGACAGCCATTTACCCATCATCAGTGCTCTAAGCGCCCCCTTTTTTGTGATAAATTCGATTTCCGGGCGTGTCTGGCTGAGATTTAAGACCAGTGCAGGGGATTGTGGGATATCGCTGGGTGCGATGCACAGGCTGAGCCTGCAGGGGGAACCGTGGAGTACGTCCGCTACGCAGGAGGGCAGAGGGGTGCTTACCCGGCCTCTTGGGCGGCTTCTTCGTGGGCGTGTCCTTGCGCTTGATTGGCACAGCAGGGGAGTAGAGCACTCCCGAGGAGGCGCTGTTTTTGCGGAAGTGCTCCTTCAGGCCCTTGATGGAGCGATCCAACTGGCTGGAGCGGATCTGATAGTATACATTCATGAAGTCTGTGGGGGGGAAGCAGGACGAGGCAAACTCCTGGTCAGAAAGACGAGTACATCGGACACCCATGTGAGGCCCCCTGCCTTTGCAAAACATCTGTGTCACATAACCTGTCACCTGACCCGTCAGTGGACGTCCCCCCATTCCTGGCCCCTCCCTCGCCTCGAGGTCTGGGAGCACCTGGACCTCCTAACTCCCAAGGACACGCAACCACGACCCTGTGGGGAAACCCCGACAGAACACGCTCGCTAGCGACGTGGTCCTGTACCCTGGTTGCGTCCGTACTCCACCAGCCAGGCCGAGATGCAGATGATGTCCTGCAATGCGGCCTCGGGGAGGTGCTCCAGCACCACTTCTTCCTGCACCTCCAGGTCTTCGTCCGTCCCGATGGCATCCAGGATGAGGATGGGTGGCACCGGCTTGCTGTAGCGTGTCAGCAGGCTGCGGAACTCCGCCTCCAGCAGCTCCTTGCCCTTCTCGAAACGTGCTTTCTGCAAATGGCCAATGACAGCAGCATGCAAGTAAGCCGGCTCAGGGGATCCGACACACATATCACGTTCTTACCTCAGGATTTAATTAGTATATCTATTAGTCAACTAGATCAGGGGTTCCCAGCCTACTGATGTCCACGGGGCGGTTTACGTCTGACAAAAACTATATCTGAGGTTGTTATGGGCCTGGAGCAACAATCAGGCTCGTTCTCCCAGTAAAAAGAAATAAAACACGTGAAACGGTGTCTCCTACCACAGTGTTGAGCTCAGGACTGTCGGGGTTGTTATCCTGAAAGTACTCCACCGCTTTCTGGATCTTTGCAATGCAGGCCAGGTACTCGTCCAGGCGACCAGCAGGTCTGAATAAAAAAGAAATAAAATAAAACAACATACAGAATGATCCTTCTGTTATCAGACACCAACATTACTGCCATTTATCTCACTCAGAAACCTGAATACCGACACACGGCAAAACATAGGCTTTACAGGCAACTTAAAAAAAAAAAACTTCCTGGAATTGATCACCTTTCTGGTGAAGCAATTCTTTTTTAGGTGACATCATCACAGAATTCCCATAATCCCATGCTGCTTCCTGTGGCTGCCCAATTGGCAAGCTTGACATGTACATCAGACTCTGCTCGGTTAAGGAGGGGTAAGGGGCACTGCAACAGCATCATCCCTCACAGCAGCCACATCCGCCCCCACACCACCCTCACCCTTCCTTGATGATCTTGTCGGTCTCCTTGGCCACGTGGTAGTAGCTGATGACGTGGTCCAGGCAGGACAGGGTCTTGTCCACGTTCTCCTGAAGCCGCTGCAGATTCTCCGTCTGCTTGTGCACGGGGATGATGGAGTTCTCCAGCTGCATGAGGCGGCTCTCGAACGATGACAGGATGGACACCTGGCACGTGGGGGGGTGGCGGGGGGGCAGTATTTACACACCTCATTCCATTGCATTCAATTAAATCTGCTGCTCACCCACGCAGAGTGAAAATGCTTCTTTAAGCAGAGATGCTCAGAACTTCCCTGACTGTCAGTGCAGCTACAGGGCTGGGTATAAACAGGACCCCCCCCCCACCCCACACACACCCCTAGGGTCCAAAGACACTTAGCTAAAAACTACAAACCACATGCTAATATACAGCACTAACAAAAAAAAAAGATTAACTTGGTATTAAAATAATTCAAGTTTTGTGGCCAGCTGTGTCACTGTCAGCCACTGTCATTCACTGTCTGTCACTGTCCTTGCACAGCCGTGCGAAACCACAGAGAGCGACACACAGCCAGACCTCTGGGGCTCTACCTGCTCTTACCATGCTTTTGGTTAACTGGTTGCTTTTATCCAGGTTTTCACGAATGAAGGAAAGCTGGTCCTGCTCCTGTGAAACAAACGCGAAACGAAAGGAGGGTCAGGGAGCATTCCGGAATGACGGAAGAGCACGAATGAAACGGCGAAGGTGTGGCCTGGAGGAGATCGCGGAGCAGATCATGAACTACTCATGTGCAAGTCTGAATGACACGGATAATGACCTCACTGCCCGATTCAAGATGACGGGGAGCCTGAGGAAGCGCGAGTGGAATTAAAATTACCAGAATAAAGCTTATTTTGAGCATGTTATGAATAGACTTGGTGCATGTGAGAAGACAGTGATGACTGCAAAAGCTGAAAAAAGAGAATGTGGACGACCAGTAAGCAGGCGGAAGGATTTAGTTATAACATGAACATGACATTTGGAAACCAGCAATTCGTACCTACATGACGGCACTTAACTATAAATGCGATTTAATTTACCTATTTACATTCGTCATGCTAGTACAAAAATACAGGGTTGACACATGAAAAAATCCCCCAATCTGTTTAAAATCAATATTAAGTAAAACCTATTTGTGTGTTATATCCCCGTACTAGCGGTTAGGTTGTAGTATTTGGATGCGTTGGTGTAGTACATAGTTCGTTTTCGTGCGTTTCTGAAAGCATTTAAATTTACATTGTAACTATACACACATGCATCCGTCTGATTGTTGTACATCTGGCTATGATACATATATGGTTTAAAAACACCGATCGTAGTGCCCACTATGCAGCAGACGGTGCCCCTGCCAATACAAATAAATCAAGAACATTTCTCGATAAAAAATAAATGTTCATGCTAGCAAATGTCGGAAAGGAGTGTGCAGTGTCGCGTCTGTAGATATGCGGACGGCTCGGTGCTGCGGCGACCAGTGACAGCGGCATGATCGGGTTCAGATGGAGCGGTTTGGAGCCGCCCCATACGGTCCCCGGGCCTCCCGGTCCATCTCTCCACGTCCCCCGAACCGACCTGCTTCAGCTTCTCCTCGATCTCCCTCTTCCGGGCCGACGCATCCTCGGTCGGGATCATCCTGGGACGCATCCGGGCTCCGCTGGACTTTCCGCGGTAGCGGGTTCAGTTAGAAAACACAAACCCTACAGGAACTCCCTGCTCGAAGGGATCCCCAGGAAGTCCCGTGATCCCGTTCCGGGCTTCGTTCCGGTTCCACCCAGCCAGCTCCAGCCTCCATTAGTGTTGTGGCAAAAGACATCCACAGTTTATCTCCAGACTCATTTCACTGGTGTGATCTGCGACTTCTACTTAACCAAAAAAAGTCGATAAACGGTCTTAAAACACAATTTTGCCCCGAAGTCGTCTCTTTGAAACTGAGCTGTTGTAATACCCCCGTGTGCCACAATGTGACGCTGTGCTGCAGAATGTATAATGCTTTTACCGACTCAGATCAGAATAGATTCGACCCCCATGTCAGCTGTCTTTAGCTGGATGCAAAATACAGTTTTTTAAAGTAACTTTATTGTGGTTGTGACTCCAGTTTATGGTGCAGCAAGGGCATCTACTGGGACAAAGTGCTGTATTTCAGCCTTCAGATGTGAAAGAGACAAAAAAGAACAAAGACAAATGTCCTACAGCTATGAATATTAAGACAGCAGCAGTGTTGGACACCCAGTTTCACCAAAACGAGTAGTTACCGTTTAGCACCCGGCTTCCCCAGAACCGCTCAAACCGGAAACACAAAAAATAGCTGAAAGTCCTTCTTCCATCTTTATATAAATAAATATTTACAACGTTATACCATTCTGTCACCACAGAAATCATGAACTCATCTCTGTATGTACAAAACTGTGGTAGGTCGCCGAAATCATTAATAATCCCATTCATTAGTAAAACATTCTAAATGAGAGGAAACATAGAAACCAAACAGACTTAATTTGTTAGTCTCTGTAGCACTAACGTTAATAACAAATAATTGGGATGTCAAAATGGTGTTATACAGTAGCTGAAAAAGTAGGTCAGGATACTCCTTCCAATTAATAAGGAATTCTGAGAAAGATTTTTCTAATTACATTTATAAAAAATCCCATAGCTAATATCAACTGATCCAGAATGCGTTGTAACCACAAGTCCGAATCTCTCACGATCCTTCTTGCTTAGCCATTGCCTGTGGGGGGAAAAAAAACCGGAAGAAACATGAAACTCTTTACAGACAAGGATACGGATCATGTTTGTACATCTGCCAAAACATGGGGCCAACATACAACATACGGGCAAATTCACACAGAAATACTGCATATAGTGATCCAACGGCTACAGGAGATGATGCAGATTCGTGGGTGCACTGTGTGTGTGTATGTGGGGGGGGGGGGTTGGAGGGTGCAGCTGTGTGTCTTTCGATATCCATGTTAGCAAAGCTTAAGGTTTGCACACCTGCTTGAAGAACTGACGACCCAGGAAGCTGGTGGCCATGTTCTTCAGGTTGGTCCCGCCGCCCACCTTGCAGCGGATGTAGCCGTACAGGTTGGCACCCTGGAGAACCACCCCCATGATCACCACTGCCTGGGGGGGGGGAGGAGGGGGGTTATCCCTTCCTTCCATTTTTAATCATCAATTCACTTTACAGATCCATCCACTTTCTAAACACTTATTATGGTCAGAGTTGCTGAGGGGCCTGGAGCCTAGCCCAGACAGTATAGACCACAAGGCTGAGGGGCCTGGAGCCTATCCCAGACAGTATAGAGCACAAAGCTGAGGGGCCTGGAGCCTAGCCCAGATAGTGTAGAGCACAAGGCTGGGGGGCTGCTTGACAATTTACTGCAGCAATTCAAGTACCTTGTTCGCAGCTAGGATCTGAACCAACACCATTCAGGTCATAAGCCCAAAATGCTAACTGCTTAGCCTAATATGGCAGCATGACTAAGACAGGAAGGACCTGATCATGGGGAGGGTAGAGATGGTACTCCCCCTAAACTCACCAGCCATTTGATCTTAAAGGAGAAGAGGGTGCTGAACACAAAGATAACCCAGATTACAGGACACACGACCAGGCCCAGCCAGAAGATCCGAGCCTCGGAATCCGAGGATGCCTTCTTATCCTACGATGGAGGACATTTCTACAGGTTGGTATCTCAAACTGGTCGTTAGGTTAATATGAGAAAATACAGAAACACCGGCATGTTGGCACTGAAGACTTTAGGGAGCTTTTAATGTCATGTGGCTACAGTTTTTCCATCAAGAAGGATAAAATAAGTCCAAGAAAACAAATGAAAGTGGGGCTGGTACAGAAGCTCTTTGGGATGCAGAATACAAACGCAGACCAAACTGGGTGGGTGGTTACATACCTTTCTGGACTCAAATACCCAGTGGCTCTTTCCATCGTCATCCACCTGGTTCCACCACCTGAGACCCACCATCAGGCGGCCAGTGACATTCTGAGGGAATCCAGAACAAAGCAGATGTTAATGTCTCATGACTATGGGGTGTGGGAATTCATGTATTTTTAATCACGTTATTTGCGACACGTCGCTACGGTACAACACATGCCCCCTGCCTTTCTCCCTCATAACTGCAGTGTTCTCCACACTGTGTCACCTACAACGTGGACTGACAGGCTGTTTTTCATATGGCAAGGACAGTTTTTGCGAAAAACACTAGTATACGTCCTTGGCATTAGAGGCTAAGAACATCGAATCTTTGTGGAGAGCCCCAGACAGGTTTAGAAACTGAAAAACGTTTCACATATCCAACAGTGCTCATCTTTCTCTTTTCTTTTATTTCATACTTCCATTATTTTTTTCTAGTATGCATTAAAGTTAATCACTACAGAACTAAACAGGCTCCGGAGTTGATCATTTTCAGCAAAATCCAGACAGTGCCACAGCAAACACCAGGGTGGATAAGAGATTTTCCGTTGTTTCGAATTTTCAGGTGGAAATTGGATACAGATGCTTATGGTTTAATCACAATGTGTATGTCGGATAACTATGTATTTCTTTATGCACTTAGTGCCAGATAAGCTGGGAAGAGAGCATAGCGTAGTATTTTACTAAGTGCTTAACAACGGATTAGCAAAACTGCCAGCCAGCCAAGTGATCTTCACATGAGACAATGTAACTTCAAAATTGTAATCGCTTAGACATGCACCTTGACGGCCCAAAAGTCGCAGGACAGCAGCAGGATGATGGTGACCATGCAGGCGATGAAACTGCTGCTCAAAATCTCACAGAGCAGGTAGACGAGGATGGCGCTGACGCGGAAGAACAGGTGGAAGAAGCTGGCCATAGGGTGCCTGGGGGCAGAGCGGCAGGCTGGGGATCAGAAGCACCAACCACGGTCCCGCAAAGTCCCCTCTGACTCACTGCATTCGTGACCCTGCATTTCCTACACCGGCCACAGCACATCCAAGTGAATTTTACACCATTACTGGTTAATTATATGATTTTCAAGGAGAATTAGCTCATGCTGAACTCACTTGATTTTCGATTTGCGTGACCTTCCAGGAACATCTTCTTCTGCATCAAAAAGCGACACATCCTCTTCACTCAAGTTCTGTCAAAGAAAGGCATCAACTGTAAAAATCACTGAAGTGTTAAATGTATATATCATCCTCATCAATTTATTATAACTGGAAAGGGTGTTTAATAAAATATATTAACAGTATGGGGCACAACAACCGGTAACCAAGGCAACCGTAACAGTGTTCATCATCAGTTCCAACGTCAGGGCAGAATAAGGCAGGAAGGCAGACAGCTGCAGCGGACACTGTAGGAGTAACGCCTCAGACATGGATCCTGGATCTTTAAGATGCAGACGCCTCATCAGGACTACTAACACGATCAATCGCTGGAGTGACATGCCTAGACTTCACTTCACTTCACTTCACTTCAACAAACAGACCGGGGCAAATTTATTTCAGTAAAAAAATAAAGTTAATAAAAAAAATAACTGAGCAGGCAAATGAGAAACAGCTAATGACCTAAACCCCGTAAGAGTGTAGTGACCTTAATACCTTGACCATTAAGGTATATTCTGCCCTTGTAATGATTTTAGTACTTAAACGGTTTACATTTTAAAGATATTGAAATTCTTTACATACACTTAGCCATAAGAAGAAAATTATAAACACGGCAAGTTAGTATCTAAATTGGAAACTGTTCTGCAAGTAACAAACTTAAAAAACTGGAGTGACGAGTTAAAAAAAAAAAAAAATCAACCAGCCGTCACACTTTGCAACACTGATTATTCTGCTGTCACTAGTCAACAATGATACTGTAACACCGCCTAAAACGTAAACACGTGTATTTAAACCACACTACATGTTATTTCTCTCCGAAACAAAAAGTTCGCCGTATGTCTGTTTAAAATATTACACAGCTAGTCACTAACTTACTTGTCTCATCATGCTGAATTCAGCCTTACACTTCCTGGTAACGTGTCCCCAACCAAACAAAGCGTGTCCCTCTCGCGCCTGAAAGACCCAAAGCAGCGATCCTGTATTTACTTATCAACCGGGAATTAATCAACACGCATCCCTGAAAATGTACAGTTTTGACGAAGCAATTAACGCGAAACACTTGCGCCAAAACTTAAGAAAGGACCCCAACGAAAGACTGGCGGTCGGCAGCCATGTTTGTTGTGGCAGTGTGTGCCGGTATTGCGGTTCAGCAACGCGAGACGATGGACGGAGATGGTGATTCTTCGGTGACTTTTTCGCATCCTTTGCCATATCTTGATAAAATGTTTATATTTTCCGAAAGGATCAAAGATTCATTTCGTTTTAAGTGTGTGCTGTGTCTGCCTAAAACAAACTATATAACGGCCTACAAGAACTCGCCCTCCAACCTGCGCAAACATATTGAGGTATGTAAACATTTCAAAACATAGCATGATAGCGGAGGACTGGCTTTAGAATTTAGATGATGGTTGAATCAATATCGATAATGTTTTCTCAATATAAAATCAACTAAAAATAGCTCCAGATTGACATTTTAGATTAGGGTTAAATTGATGTTGATTTATTTTCAATTAATCGGATTAAAATCCGCTGTTGATTCAACTTAAAACATAACGAGCGCTTTCAATTTGGTTTCAACGTCGCGTATCAACGTAGATTCAATATTTCTTCCTGACTGGGCACTGGGACGATGGTAGTGGTTTTGAGGCATGTGGGAACTATAGCCTCTTGCAGAGACAGATTAAACATGTTTGTTAGCACCCCTGCTAGTTGATCAGCACATGACTTCAGTGTGCAGCCTTGTACCCTGTCTGGTCCTACTGCTTTGGAGGCATTGAGATGTTGTTTTATTATTATTATTATTATTATTATTATTATTAACTGTGACATTATTCACTGTCTTTTATAGAGGAAGCATGGATGTCAGTTGCAGAAATACTGTGAACTAGCCAGGGTTGCCTGCAAAAGAAAAACTGAATTTGGGACATCTTCAAATGTCAAAAAAATGAAGCTTGAAGAAACAAGACAAATCTCTCAGAAAACAGTGGATAACGCTGTACTCCGCTTCGTAGTTCAAGGTCTCCAGCCCTTCTCCCTTGTTGAACAGCCTTCATTCCAAATCTTGTCCTGGATTTGCAGCCAAAGTGTGTGGTAATGTCTCCATCTACAGTGCGGCGCAAGATTGATGCAGCCACAGCAATCATGAAGGAACAAGTGAAAGAAGCAATGAGGAAGATTTCATACGTTGCCACAACAACTGATTGCTGGGAGAAGGAGGAGTTTCATCGGTGTAACAGCACATTGGCTGGATCCATGCAGTTTTGAGAGCCATTCTGTTGCTCTTGCATGCAATCGGTTAAAGGGTCCTCATATATTTGATGCTTTGGCAGGTGCAATGAATGACATACACACAGAGTATGAAATTCGTCAGAAAATAGTCAGAACCACAACTGACAATGGTTCAAATTTTATTAAAGCTTTTCGTGAGTTTGGACTAGAAGAAAACAACGACGCCGCTGAAGAGGCAACTGAGGAAAAAGCAACTGATGAAGATTGCTCTGATGATGAAGAGACAGAAGTGAAATTTGTTGATGTTGATGCAATTATGGCTGAAGATGATGGCCTTCAGTACCTACTGCCAAAGCACCATCAAAGCCTGTCATTTGCTGAATTTGGTTTCCACAGTGGATGTTGAGAGTGCAAACAGGGCAGAGGCCTACAGGAAACTCTCAAGGTCACCCTTCTCTAAGTCCCAGGCTCTCTGGAATAAGAGTTCAAGGTCTACTACTGCTGCAGAGACCGTCGAGAAGCATTGTAAGCTTCACCTGGTACAGCCCAATGCAACAAGATGGAATTCCTTTTATTTGGCTGTGGAGCGCATAGTGAGAATCCTCAAAGATCAAGGAGAAGGGCCTATGAGAGCTGTCTGTACTGCTCTCAAAATTCCTATGTGAGTCACAAATGTCTGGGATCTTCTACTCATTTTATTGGCTACATAAATGCTTGCCTCATCACCTGGTCAGGTCACCTTTTGTGCATTATATGCAAATAAGTAACATAAAAACAAGGAACAGTTATAAAATGATTTTATAAAGCTAATTCCGGTGTGATCTGAAATTATCCATTTGTGACGGTGCTTTAATGTATGTTAATTTTTCCTCCAATGTACATAAAATATTTCTTTTTTTTATGATTGGTCTTTTTTCTTTTTCTTGTTAGGTACAGTCCAGCTGACATAGCCTTTTTGGGTGAATACACCACCACCATGAGCCAATCATAAACATATTGCAAGGAGAATCCAACATTCAGATGGGATGGCTGCTCCCTATAATCACGACCCTTGTGACCAAACTTGACAAAATGAGAGCATCGCTGAGATTCTGCAAGCCGCTAGTTGATGCCCTCCTAGATGGTTTGAGGAAACGGTTTGGAGATATGATCTCTGATCCTGAACTAGTTGCAGCAGCCATTCTTCATCCGAAGTTTAAAACCTCCTGGACCAGTGATGAAGAGGTCCTTAGACTCGGTAAGAAATATCCTATCGTTTCCTAATTTCATCTACTCTTTGGAAGACAAAAAATAAATATATTGTAGTTGCATAAGCTTACAGCTTAATGACAATGTACAAAAAAATTGTGATTAATCTATAATTGTTTCTGATTTAGGCCACAGTTACATTAAGGAGCACCTTCCTGACCATGATGAGGGTGTTCGGTCTGCTGACAACTCCTTAAGTACTTCTGATGAAGATGATTTCTTCTCTAATATCAAGCATACACAGACACAGAAGACAACCAAACAGTTAGATGCATACCTAACATGTGCCGCTTATCCTGCTGTATGTAATCTATCACTTAAGCTAAACACGGCCCTGCCTGCTTCGGCAGCATGCGAGAGGCTTTTTAGTACAGCTGGATTGATCTTTAGGCCACAAGATGGGCAGCAATCAGCTCATGCAACTTTGAGAACCAGCTTCTGCTTAAGATAAATAAGGACTTTTACAAGTTTGAGTAATTTGACCACCCTGGGATTGTCCTGATTACTTGTTAAAAATAAATTACTTGTTTTCTTTGTCAGCTTGTGTTGTTTCATTCTGTAACATTTTACTAATTTCTTATTCTAGAGGTTCTACAGGCTAGTCAGAGGCATTAGGCATCGTATGTGTTGTGCCAATAATGCAACAATGCGGTGAAAGAAAAAGTACTTTTAATACTTTAAAAGCAAGTACTTCAGTACTTTAACTTAAGTAAAAATTTGACTGCATGACTTTGACTTGTATTGGAGTATCATTTGACCAGTGGTATCTGTACTGTCACTTAAGTAATGAATGTGAGTACTTTGTCCACCTCTGCTGTTGATGTTTCTGGGCAGTTTACACTGAAAGTGCAGAACATTTTCTTTATTCTTATAGCTTTACAATCAAATGGCTTTAATTAAAAACAGAATTAACGTGAAATAAAATGCAATAATATTTTTGCGGGAACTCAGCCACGATGTGGCAATGTACAGTAACAGGATAGGCTCACCAAGTGCATAGTGCATAGTGCAGGTCTCCAACACTCAACTGACTCAGTAACTACAGAGTTTCAAACTTCCTCTGGTATTAACCCCAGCACAAGGCCAGGTGTCGGATGGAGTATAGCGTAAAGCACGCTGCCACTGGACCCTGGAGCAGTGGAAACATGTTCTGTGGAATGATGAATTATGCTTCTTTGTGGGGCAGTCTGATGGACGAGTCTGGGTTTGTCAGATGCCTGAGGGGGTTGGGCTGGGCCCCTTAGTTCCAGTGAAGGGAACTCTTAATGCTTCAGCATACCAGGACATTATGGGCAATTCTATGCTTCCAACTTTGTGGGAACAGTTTGGGGCCCTTTTCTGTTCCAGCATGACTGTGCCCCAGTGCACAAAGAAAGGTCCAGAAAGACATGGTACTGGGGGTTTGGTGTGGAAGAATTTGACTGCACCCAAAAAGCCCTGACCTCAACCAGAACTAGAATGGATATTGTGAGCCAGGTCTTCATGCCAAAAATCAGCCCCTGACCTCATAAAAGCTCTTCTGGATGAATGAGCAAAATTCCCACAAAAAAAAAATCTTGTGGCAAGCCTCCCCAGAAGAGCGGCAGCTGTTATAGCAGCAAAGGGGGGGGGACCGACTCCATATTGATGCCTGTGGATTTAGAATGGGACGTCATAGAAGTTCCTGTAGGTGTGATGGTCAGGTGTCCCCAATACCTTTGTCCATATTGTGTATGTCCGAGGATATTTTACATTACAATGTGTGTGGAAATACTTTATTTCACATTTTAAGTAACATCTGTGGCTGTAATTTTCAATATTTAAATATCCTCAGTTTTAAATAATTGTTTTAATTAAACCATGTCTTAAATATCATTATTATAAGTATTTGTTTTAAATGGTTCTAAGCTCGTTCCCTGTGGAGAGACACACTTTACAATTGCTCTTGTTTGTCTTTGTTTTCACACTGAATTGTGGTACCAGATCCTCCCAGGTCTCAGTGAATCTTCATTTACTTAGAATTGTACAGAACTGTGCAAACTTGCTGTGAAATATAAAATGTGAAATTTATAAGAGTAATAAATGCAGTGCCATCTTTAAAAATATTGCTGAACTGATTTTAATAATAAAGATACACAAACTGTTTTTATCCATAAATATTTATTAAAAATAAAAGCGACTTGCAAGTCGGGGAGAAATAGACAAACAGAACTCAGGTGTGACAGTGACAGTGACCAGAAGTTAATGCTGAGTTTTGACCGGGCAGTAATTCATACAGGTCAACCCAGGTAAACAAGCTAACATAATACTCACTGCTTCGTTGTGTTTTGAAAGGCATTTGGGACTTCCTGAGGAAAACAGGCTGAACAGGTCCTCAGCACTTCCCCTGTGCGTGGCCCCTGTCGCCTGCCACCTGCCTGCTCTCCACCGCTATGCAAAGTGACGCATGCCTTTTGGTTTCCGGCGGTTAGTCACGCCACAATCTCATCTGTGTCAGGTGACCCAGCGAGGAGCAGGTGCTCTGAAATGGCTAAAGCAGAGCTGCCCCGTGGGCACAGGAGCTGCCCCGTGGGCACAGGAGCTGCATTCCCCTTAGTGTTGAAAAGTAAACGGACTCATTCAGAAATATGTTAATAATGTTATACTTTATCTGCTAGGGTTGATGTTATTTAAGAAACCAGAAATCATTTGGATGCAATAAACCATTAGGAAGTGATGCTTCCACTGATGCATGTATGTTTCTGCTGGACCATTATGATCTGGTTCCTCGTTAATCTAAAGCAGCGTCTCAAATTCTGCTGACGCTTACTAACTAAACGGTTGAGGCCTTAACTTTGTTGCATTGCACTGGGGCCGTTGGTGTTGGTGGCCACGGTGGTGGCATCGGGAGGTGTGGAGGGGGCCAAGGAGCCCGTCTCAGATGGGGCGTCATCAGGCCCAATGAGCATCACCGAGTCGTCCTTCTTGGGCAGCCAGACGGCAGCGTGCAGGGGTTCCAGGAACTCGGCGCGGTATTCGTGAAGGAGGGTCATGGTGTCGGCCACACCAAAGAAGGCCAGCCAGGATCGTCTGTAGTCCACGTAGATGCCGATACGCGTGAACCCGTCCGCCTTCAGGGGCGTCTCGGCGTCACCGTGCCAGGCGGAGAAGCCACGCTTCCCGCACTGCAGGCACCAGGAGAAGTTATTACCCATGATGCAGCTGCTGGTGCCCTCGCCCTTCCGGTCGATGCTCTTGTAGGTGAGGCCCACATGCACCCCATCTCCGATCACCTCCACCTCTAAGTAGTGTTGGCCCAGGTAGAAACTCTCTGCCGCCAGCACCTGCCTCCAGTGCTCGAAGCGCTGCGTCGTGTCCGGGTAGTCGTGCTGCCATGGCGTGGTGTTGGTCACCTTCCTGTTCTCCTTGGTCAGCCGCAGGAACTTGTGGACGGTGTCAGCGTCAAAGCTCAGCGGGGTGCAATCTGGAAGGGTGTCAGGCACAGCCGTGAGGAGCTTGTGGACCGTGAGAATAAAAACATCTCATTGTCCTTCAACTGCACCTCATCTTCGATTAAAGTCGTGCAGCTATTTCCAGCAAAGTTAGTAGCTGAGCTGTATTGGGTACAGATTACGGCATTGCCACAGCATCACTGGAATTAGGCTGCTAAACTCTCAGTGAAGAGATCAGGACTCTGGGCTTGGTTAACTTTCTTGGTTTTTGCTTTGAGACTGATGAAGTAAAGTATCTCCTTAGACATCCTTAGGGACTTTAGAAAGTTGATCACGAAAGTTGATCTTGAGATCAAAAGGATGTTGTTGTGAAATGCAAGAGGGTCTTTTGTACCCTTGACTGATGAACCTCACCTGAATCATATATATGTATATATAGTACGTAAAAGGTCACCCTGAATAAATAACATTTCAAAGGAAGAAGATCAGGCTTACACTTCAGAAAGTCATTTCGGGTCTTCGGATTGACGTGAATCAGGGTAGTCAATGCATGAACCATCATCTTTATCCTAATTTTATCTGAAGAGAAGAATGTGAAAAATTTCAATCAGGTGATACTATCACTGATCCCACACATGATTATCATTTATCACTTGAGTGCACGTTGCTGTGAGATTACGCAATCCACAATTTCATGTCACAACAAGCTGAGACCCAGAATGATTTGCTTAGTCACAGCACACCTGGTTAACTCTCTGAGCCTTATGTGTGTCTGTGGCATGTGTGTGTGTACATGTTTGTGCTTGTGCCTTTTCGGTGACAGGACAACAAGCGAAGGAGTAACAAAAATCTACACTCCACCCTGCTAACCCCGACATGTGAAAACATGTTGGGCCCTAAACAAATGTAACTGAAGTAAAGCCTAACTTGAACCATATTCAGTATTTGTTTTAATTAGCACTTATGGGCAGAGATGGGTGGTTCAGACCCAGAGAGTGAAAGTCCAGACGAGGATTTTGTTTCAACCAATCAGTTGAGCATAAAGAGTCACAGTCACAGAGTACTCGACTGGTTCGTTGAAACAAAATCTTGGTCTGGACTTTTACTCTCTGGACCTGAACTACCCATCTCTGCTTGTGGGTGACCTCTGACCCCTTCGCCAGTCCCGTGGCTCACCGGCCTTGTCCGATGCCTTCAGCTTCTCCCTGTAGATGGACGGCAGACGCTCGCTCAGTTCCGCGGTCGCCTCGATGACGAGGCGACTGAAGCAGGTCATGCGATCCGCCAGGCTGATGTACACACTGGGCAGGGAGAAATCCAGAGACTCCTGCTTCCACTGCGAGTATTCCTGCCAACAAAATGCACCACATACACATTGTTAGTAAAGCTCGGCCACAGTTAGGGGGGACTCTTACTCTCACAGGAAGTGGCTCCTGTCATGTCTCAGGGCTGATCACAAAGCCTCCTACGCAAGCACAGACTGGATGTTTGGCTAAAACACTGAATAAAATGACCATCTAGAAACTTAGAAGATGTAATTAAACCAATTAAGTCCTTCTGTAGTGGTCATTTCCTAGGGAGATGTAAGCACAATGTGTCACATCCCTGATGTGGAGTTTTTACATTCTTCATACATCGTCAGAACGGACTGGAGATAATATTGGTGTTATTGGGATCTTCAGTTGAGCAGGAGGCTGCAGTTCTTAGGCTAACCAGTTTGTAGTTAGTCAGGTGTTAAAGTAAATCCAGAAAGTTGACACATAAGTATTGTTTGTAAGTTACGCAGCTTGCTCATAGTCTTGTTTAGTTGATTTGTGGTTTTGATTAAAGGTTACAAGCTCCAGTGAAGGACATACAGCCTGTTTTCCTCGGTGGTACCTGCAGGAAGTCGATGTCGTTACTCTGCCTGGAGAGCTTGTCCATGTGTGCCTGCGTCTTCCTCAGCTCTTTGCATTTGTGCTCGAGGTGCGTCCGGATGCCGTCGGCCTGCTTGAAGGCCTGCCCGGCTTCACCCTCCAGGATCTCCGTCACCTCCTTCTGGGTCTTCTCGACCACGGCCTGGAGTCTGCTGAACTGCTGCCTGATCATGCCGTGCACCTCAGCCACAGAGGCCTTGGGAGACGGGAACACAAAAGAGTGGCGGGTGAATATAACCAATGTGGCAGACTGATAGAAGTGCTGAATAAAATGGACGACCCTCCAGGACTCCATTTCCCAGAAGCCTTCAAAGTACAGGGACTAGTTACTATGTGGCTGGATGGGTGTCACGGTAAATCGAAGAAATACAGAATTTTCTTGAAGGGAGTGAAAGGGGAAGGCACAATAAACATCCTAACACGTGATGCTGCTATTATTCCATTTAGCCTTTGACTTCTGATTGTTAGAAAATGAATTAGCCTTTCATTCGTTGAGGGAAGGACGTCGAACTATCCTCCTTTAGTGAACCAGTGACCAGGTCATTCAGCGAAATGGTCACTAAGTGAAAATCACAGTAGCCTAGGTGTGACTATAACTGTGCGTACAACTTTCCTCCAGCCTTCCAAACTTAATTTCTGTAATCCTTCATGAATTGGATGTTTTTAACAGTTTTGACCTTTTGTATATTCTACTTCAAAGATGGTTCTCACTCCAGCGTGCGTTACTGTCAGCCATGCTAAATTTGGTCATAAATGCACGCATTGATCAGGAAGTGAGTTGCGCTAGTCACTAAATGAGGAGCGGTCGCATTGTGAGTAAGGCTGGGGGAAGGAGAGTGTCCCACATGTTGGGTTCACGATTCTTCAGGATGGGATCTAGGCAGCTGCTTGGGGCCCGATCATCACAAGGGGGCCAGACCAAACCTCTGTTCAATGACATCATCCAAGGGACCCCACCCACCAGGAGAGGTAGCGATGGTTTCAGTGATCAAAAGCGGGAATGCAGTAAATCAACATGGAATTACTCACACACTATAGAGTCTAGCTGCTCAGTCAAAAGACAGCTTTTACGTTTTCCAGGTGCTTTTATTCAAAGTGACATATAGGGTCAAACAGTCCCGGGAGCATGGAGATTAAAGGCCTTGCTCAAAGGTCCAACTCTGAAACCACTCTGCCAAACCTGGGATATGAATGTGCAACCTTCCGATCACAAGAACAGCGTTCGAACCCACTGAGCGATGTACCACCTCTATAATGTTATGGACTTTGCAACAGTACACAGACAGCCAGTTGGGGGTTATAATATGACAGCCTTCTGAAGAATAATGTTTTTACAAAAGGCTCCACAGGTATCTCCCTGACACTGTGGGCGTATGTAATAAGTGGCTTCTCTGAGTGGAATTCGCACAGTTCACGTAGAGTGCAAACACTGGAGATAAACCGGACAAAGGCGCACCGATTTTATCACGTCTCCTTGATTCGTTTGGAGGTTGCAGTTCTAGTTGTGATTAACCAAGTGAGCGATAAAGTGGCTACTGAGAAGAAGGACGAAGTGACCAGCGAGGCGCAGAGCAGCTGGGGGTGGGGGAGAGAGGAGCGAGGCCGGCGTGAGGAGGAGGAGGAGGAGGAGGAGGAGGAGCACCTCGATGGAGGCGGCGTTGCTGTGCAGCTTCTGGATGGCGTTCTCCGCGGCTGTCACACTTCTCAGCATCTCCATCCGCTTGTGTTCCAGCTCCTTCTGCATGTGAGGACATGGGGAAGCAGGCAGACATACGGCTGGTAAAAAACGATTGTTACTGATTTACTGAAGATTTGGAATGAAGATTTGATGGCGTATGCTTCAGTAGAACAACCTACCAAAGTACAATAAATTGTGTCCAGCCCCCCTGTTTCATACTCTCCTGTATTTTTGCACTTAAAGTCCCATGAAAACCCTCCCCTGCCACTGGTAATGTTGCACTGAATTCCTGGGGGATGCAATTTTGTGCCACTGTATACCTGTATAAGGACGGTATGACAACTTGACTTGAGTTGTGTTGATATATTTTTGAAAAATTGGTCAGACTTTCCCAGAATGTAAATGCTGAGATTTTGATGTAGGCTACAAAACAAATATTTCTGAGGATAAATCAGTTCTTTGTTGGGCCGTTCTGGATTTAATCATTCTTTCAGGATTGTTTGCACTATCTTTGTTCTGCTGAGGTCAGATAGGGAGCAGAAAGACCTTTTGTGGGAAACTGCAGTAGCCACACGGTATTCATGCCTTTGGGGCATATCCATTAGCATGCGATCGCCTTGTTCCCAGCTCCCAGAAGGCTTAGCTTGCCATTCAGGCGACAGAAACGCACTGCGATGTCATAATGGTCAGGAGGGCGTATGGGCACTGCGAGCACGTCGTTCCTGACTGGTGTGGAAAGCTGGTTTTGACTCTCAGTTCTGTTTTTATTCATGGTCTCCAACTGTCATTCATCTGGCGTGACTCACACTTTCAGACTCTCACACTCACACAAGACTCACAAGAAATCTTACAGCAAATGTATATTATTCCATTATAAACCTATAGTTAGCTACATCAAAAGTGTTGGGTAGTTTGCAAAGCCTACAGACTATTTACAAAGTAATAAAACTGTTACATGCATGTAATTGCGTGTGCAGACTCGTCTCAAGCTGAAAATCTCATGCCAGCCAACTGACCAAAGTTGGCCACCCTGTTTATTATGTCATCCCAAGTAGCCATTTCCAGACTGACAATTAACACAGGAATTTGAAATGATTAATGCTGTCGATCTACGAGAGATTAAGGGTTCGCTTAGCAGGTTTTCTGTGTTGTGTTGTTGATTCTGAGCCAGACGGCGTTAACGTCGCACCCTGTCGCCAACGTAAAGTCACACCTCAGGTGTAGGTGTCCTAACGGGAAGACTAGCGTGACAGGCTCAGCTACTCTGGCCCGTTAAATGACCTGTTTCAGCGTCAACAGAGACACTGTGGGGGGGGGACACCATGGTTGGGAAGCATTTGAATGTATATTTTACCCCCAGCTCTGACCTCCATCCTCCTTCATTCACAGGCCCTGAACACAGTACAAAGGGACATGAATCAGGGGACAGGTGGGTGAATTACCTGCCGCTGTCCCTCTCGCTGTTTCTGAGTCACTATGCAGCCAAACCCAGTCAGTGTCACGTTTAGCAGGGCTGCCGAATCTCACGCATCTGGCATGACTCACAATACCGAACTGTCACGCTCACACAAGTAATATTACAGCAAATCCATATTATTTCATTATAATCTGAAAATGAGCTACATCAGAAGCTTATGGAATGGTTTGCAAACCCTACAGACTATTTATAGTTCTCAGAGCACTGAATGCTGACACAAGTTTCCATAGTTCCCAGAGCGCTGAATGCTAACACGAGTCCCCGTAGTTCCCAGAGCACTGAATGCTAACACGAGTTCCCATAGTTCTCAGAGCACTGAATGCTAACACGAGTCCCCGTAGTTCCCAGAGCACTGAATGCTAACACGAGTTCCCATAGTTCTCAGAGCACTGAATGCTAACACGATTTCCCATAGTTCCCAGAGCACTGAATGCTAACACGAGTCCCCGTAGTTCCCAGAGCACTGAATGCTAACATGAGTTAAATATTCACATGGCTTGATGACAGCTAATGGTGCCCCTGTTGTTCTTCCTATTCTGTCTTCACCTAACACTGTGAAGGAGGCGTTAGCCCACTGTACCTCGATCAGATGCCGCGCTTGTCTGACGGGCATAATGTCATGCCCTCCGTGCCCCCCTTCGGCGCACTCCTGGCACACGCAGCACCCATCCTGACTGCAGTATAGCCCCAGGGGCCAGCGGTGGATGTCGCAGGTGCGGACCTCCATGTCCTGCAGTGGCTCCACCAGCCGGTGACTCTGGAAGCGTGCATTCTCCAGGTGGGGGCGCAGGTGAGCCTCGCAGTATGACACCAGGCAGGTGAGGCAGGACTTGCATGCCCGGCGGGGGCTGTCGATGCACGAGTCACACACCACCTCTCCTGGGCTCAGGGCGTCCTCCGGGTCTCCAGCCTCCATGAGAGCTCCCTGTTCACTGGCCTCCTCGGGACCTTTTTCTTGGTCTTGAACTTCTTCTGATGTCCCAAGTTCTGGATCTTCTATCTCGTTATTGGTGCCCATGATCCTGGGGGGGTCTGGCCCCGTTTTGCCCCCTGTGCCGTTCACCTGGATATTCACAGCCTCCAAAGGTCTGGGATCTTCTGAGACTCTGTCTGGTGAGCAGCTCTTTGCTTTGCCTCCATGAGCATTGTGATAAGACTTACTGGCAGGCTGCTGTGAGGGGACCGGCCTTGGGTCTGATGACACGTCTGGGCAAGCAGACTGGTTCTGGGGCTGCGCCGATCCAGCAGGCGAGTCTGTGTCCGTGTTGGCCATGGCTGATCTTTGGATCTCGTTTGTTCTGACCTCGCTTGTTCACGCTCTTGTTCTCCTGGCCACCTCCTTGGCAGGCGTGCTCCGTCACACCTGTCGCGGTATCTCGTGAAGCGGAGTGGAGCACTGTAGCTTGTTACACCTTAGGAACGTCCGCTGTCATTGTTCTCATAGTTTTACTCACCCCGCCCCCCCTGCCACCACACCTGCTCTCTTGGTCCCTCCCCAAGCTCAGAGAGTCACAGCAGAATAGGAAGAGCGGAGTGGGGTAGTCTCTGTGGAAGAAGGATCTGTTGCGTAAATGAGAGCCGTGCCCAAATCAAGTAGCAAATCAGGTTTCTGTTTGTTTCCTTATCAACTCTTTACATTTGCAATGGGAGGGACTTGCTAGGCTGGTCTCACGCAGGCGGCAATGACAGAGCTTAATGGGAGGCATAATGGGAGACCAAAGGGGAGGTTTTCCCATTCAGATGTCAAGTAAAGTCAAGTTTTCTGTATTGACTATAAGTGTTTATTATTGTAACATTCAGCGAGAAAGACAGTAGTCCAAAAGATTTCTTTATGTAAAGTGCTCACAGAAAGTCTTGGGACGATTGTGTAATTCTGTAACAATGTTGCAGATTTATTGGTTTCATAGCACAAGTCCATTGACAAGCGATGTTTAATATATCTGCTCATATCTTCCACACAGACATTTTTTTATTCATGTCATCATTTTTTTGACTGACTCATTCAGTCCTGTTCTTGCCATTTTGCTATTAATTATTTTATTTTATTATTATTATTTTTTTTTATATTCCCTCCTCCACCCCCCCTCTGGGGGGGACTACTTTATCTGTATCTATTTATTTATTAATTAATTTATTCTATTTTTATTATTATTTATTAATTTATTTTTTATTTTATTTTATATTTTTATTTACTTCCTCAAAAGAAGGAGAGGGAGGGGGGGACAAAGGAGAAGGAGGGAAGAGAGAGAGAGGGAGAGAGAGGAATGGAAAGAAAACAGAAAAAAAAAACAAAAGAGAAAAAAAAAAAAATTGCTATTAATTATAATTGTAGTCATTGACTCTCAAAGGGATACTACAAATATTTAGTGTTGCTATGTTATTGCAAAGGTGTTACTCATTACAAAGCACCCAGTGATGTTTGTCAATAACTTTGTTACTCAGAACAGCTCTTTCAGAGCTATAGTTTGGGTTACTACTTGAAATAAATGTTTTACTTAAAACTACTAGTTGTTTCTAATGTGATACATATTATTTGTAAATGAATTAAATAATTATTTTGTTATAAAAGTTGCAATATTTTTACTGAATTAGGGAAGACTTTCTATTAGCACTGTACAGGAAAAGCAAATGAGCCTAAGATATATTAATTTTGACCTATGATACACATCAGGCCCACTGATAGATGAGGTTACTTTCTCTGAGTTATGGTCTTTCCTGCTGCTTGATTCAGGTGCTCAATACTGACACCTGGTGGAGACTTTTAAATTCCCTTTTTTATTTTAACGTCTGTCTTTAGAACTGCAGGTTTCACCCAGAGCAAGTGAACTTTTGTTCAATGGCCACTTGCTGAAACACATCAAGACATTGGTCTCGTTATACAAATATGAAGTGGTCTCCTCATTTTAATGTCACCTGATGATCATCAAGACGTAACTGTAAATGAGAATGTTGAGATTTTTATTGCATTAGTGGTGGTGTACCCCATTATGTCCATTTTTTGCGTACCTAACACAAAAATGTAACTTTTCTTGTTGTCCATCCATCCATCCATCCATCCATCCATCCATCACCTAAACAATTACCATGGTCAGGGAATGGGGCACAATGCTGGGTTACTATCAGTATGTCAGTTTTGTTGTGTTAAACAAAAGAATGAAAAACAGCTAAGTAAGGAAAATTTCCTGGACTTAAGTATCCCTACTAAATCCCTACTTATACTATTGATGTTGGATGCCATTGAATGACAAATCACATGACAAATAATGAAAACAAACAGAATAGATTTAAATGTTTATTAAGTTTAATTACAGTTGTTTAAGATAGACAAATTAGTCTTAAAAATTTTCAGCTTGTTAACAGTGCATTAATCCAGTGGTCATCGTTGAAAATGTATTACACGATTAATTTATCTCAATTAGTACATTTTCCCTTTATAGCTGTAGATCTAGTAAAAGTTTCTGGGATAATTAAAGCTTTTGCGTGTGACTTAGTGGTTACGTAGTCGACATCATTTAATGAAGTTTGCGGACTTCGCCATCTTGGTTCAGCACATAGCTGTCTGCTATGCTTGTGTCTCATGCTAAAGGCTGATCTTCCAGCAAATAAAATACCAAGCGGGAAATGAGAAGCTCTGCTGCAGGTTAAAGTGCATATTAGTATGTGAAAGCAGCATTTCACTGTGGCCAAAGGTGCGAGTGAGACCCTAGAACGCCTTTATCCTGCCTAGATAAACCACAGCCAACACCTTACATCTTCTTCTTCTCTTAGTGTGAAGTATTTTTCCAACAAAGACAAATGACCCTGGTCTGCAGCTTCAAGCCAAGAAGGATCTAAACTAGAAGACCAGCAGCAGGAAGACAAATCGATGTAGTAATCGCCAGTGTCACATGACTGACCCCCAAGCATAAGGAAGACAAGCCGCTGTTGATAAAATGCGGTAGCATGTATCACCCTCCTAAAGGACCCCAACGAAGAAAATGTTTAATTGGGCAGCACTGTGGACGAATCGAAGGGCTCCAGCTGTCTGCTGTTAAGAGTTCATTTTAGTCTTTTGGATTCAGTCTGAGCTACATTCATTGCTTGTGCTATTTCTGTACCCTGGCAGGAGAGAGACCCTCTGCTCCTACTGCACACCGACCAGCTCTGTGATGGGGGGCGCAAACACCATCAGCTCCTGGTACTTGTGGAAGAACAGGTGCAGCCGTGACAGGTAGCTGTCCTCCTGGTACGGCAGCTTCTTTTCCTTTAGGTATTTAGACACGATGGGTTTCACCTGGTGATGGGGGGTACATAGAACAGAGGGAATATCGCACGTAAGGGAGGACGGTTCAGACCACCCAGCTTCTCTGGCTTTTCAGTATCGAAATCAATTTAAAGGACATATACATGCTGCTGAGTTTCAGAAGTAAAAAGACTGCAGTGTTTTGTGTGGGTGACTGATTCCCTCAGACCCCTTGCTCAGCGGTTCCTGTATGCCTTTCACTTTGTAATAGCAGGTGCCAGACTTTCTGTTCTGACCAACATTTAGTGCGTATTAATCAAGACACCGCCTTGGCTTGAAGCTCAGGATAATGTAAGCCTGAGATAAGTCAAACTGAACCAGCAGGAGTCATTTCTGTTAACAAAGAAGAACAAAGTAACCAAAGAACTCCCAAAGAAAGAGGCCTTCTGGAACGAGACTAGATTCCATTGCAGATCCTGAAACCCCATCAAGTCACCAAATTCTACATTTCTCTTGATTCCAATGAAGAGATCCACTTCGCTGTACACAGATATACAATTTTACTTTTATTATCTTTTATACGTCATGGACATGACGATACTTTTAATTACAATTTCGTTATAAAGTTTACAAAAATTCTACCTTTCGAATTCTAACCAAGAACGTGTAGTTGCTAAGCAACAGTTGCCAGCTGTATCCATGGCGATGTGATGATTAGCACTGCACTCCATGACCTGGCAGCCTCTCCGATTTTGGTTTTAACTGAATGGTAAAGAATCAACATGGCTGAGTGTAACATATTTGTAGAGAAGGACTAAGAATGGCCAGGCCAACTGCTGGAACTAACAAGGAATGGTGGGGGATTGATTTTGAAACGGGACGGCCATGTTGCCTGGTAAGACTGAGCTGCGTCTCACATGCTTTTCAGCAGCAAGTTCAAAGTAGCAGCTAAGCAGGTTTAAAAAGATGCTGACATAAGGCTCTTGCTGCTGCAGTGAGATGTGGATGTGCTTTTGGCTGACAGTGGCCCTTGAGCCTTGTGCATCCCAGGCTGGGCTCCAAGCCGGCGTGACCTAACACTGAATCTCAGGTCTTACCGTGCACATCTTTGCTTCGACCATCTGCTATCGCACCCTTAGCCTACCAAGAGATCACGGAAATCTGAGCCGCAGACACACAACAGCACAGGGATTCATCCTGAATGCAGGTGAGGCCTTAGCCTGTAGGGGGCGCCCTACCTTCAGACACATGTTGTCAGACAAGGAGGGGAAGAGGTGATGCTCCACGTGGCAGCTGATGAGCGAGTGGCCGAAGGTCCAGTCCAGCAGCGGGTTTCGGGGCAGATTCAGGACCCCGTAGGTCATCTGGTAGATGCGCTTTGGTCGGCGGGACGGGGAGAACATGGACAGGCCGATGTGCTGCAAGAACGGAGGCAAGAGGAGAAGGGTGGAGATGGGAGGAGGTGCAATGAGGAGGACAAGGCAAGGGGTCGCATGCGTGTGTGTCACGGGAATACTGCACACACATCTAATACATTCACACACACTAACATCCATGCATGCACACGTATCTCACAAGGAAATTCAGGCACTGCCACCTCACACACACAGACACACACACACACACAGACAGACACACACACACACACACACACGCACATGCACACACACACACACACACACACACATGCACACACACACACACACACGTAGGGTAAACATATCCTTATGGGGACCGCTCATTCATTTCAATGGGAAAAATGCTAACGCTAACTATGACAACCTTAACCCCTACCCTGCCCTAACCATAACCATAAGTAACCTAACAAAATACAAGAGTTTTTGCAGTTTTAGTTTTTTCATAGCAGTCACCGATTTTTATAAAATAGAGTTTTCCCCTATGGGGACCAGGAAACCGGTCCCCATAAGGGAAAAAAAATGGATATTTATCACGTTATGGGGACATTGTGTCCCCATAAGGATAGGTAAACCCGCTCGCACAAACACACGCACACACACACACACACACGTACACAAACACACGCACACACACACACGCACACATACATAAACACACACACACTCACACACGCACACAAACACACGCACACACACACGCACACATACATAAACACACACACACACACACACACACACACAGTCACAGCGGGATAGTTCCCCTCTGTCGCTCCGGTCCCAAACAATGACTGATTCTTCTAAAGCGTCTTGTTTCCAGATCAAGGGGAATGTTTTTCGACGTTTTGAAGCTGCAGAAATACACAAGC